AAGCCACGCCATGGATCCAAGAATTTCTTGGTATTCCTCCGGGAGCTCGGATATATCCATTTTAGGATTATTTGGCTGTAGGGCATAGATGGACTGAATTGCCCATTCAGCAGCCTTTGACTTGATCTCCGCCCCTTGACACTGTATCTCTTCAGTCAGCGAAGTGACTCTTCCCTGACTAGCTTGGAGTTCAGCCTCAAGCGCCCACCTTTGCTTCTCGGATGCCTCCCACAGCTCGCCCCTTTCCCGCTCTACTCGTGAGGCCCGCTCGAAGGTCATTTTAAGCTCTTGGTCTTTCTCGCCAGCCTCTCTGGTGAGTTTGGCCACTTTCCTCTGGAGCTCCTTTATCTCCTCTCCGTGCTTCTCTAGCTCGGCCTTCTAAAAATCCACCTTGCGAAGAGTAGCATCCCTTTCATTCAGGTACTAGTTCACCGAAGCGATGGATAATTCCTTCTCTGCCTGAGTGGCTTCTAAGTCCCGCTTGAGCCGCGCTCTCCTCCCTCAGCGCGACCTCCCCCTTGGCAGCTCCCAGTCGGACCTTTTGTAGGGACAATTGCATGGAGAACAGAGCCTACGAACAAAAAGAGTAACAAGTTAGTATCCTTGCTATTGGAAAGGATAGGTGTAAAGTCCTCACCGAGGACAGCTCGGTCTACCTTGCTCAAATGTTGGATGGATATGGACATCAGGTCTACATGATTGGAGGCCACGAACTGCTCGAATGGCTCTGCGAGCCCGCACTCCAACAGGGTAAAAACCACCAGCTATAGATGATCCAGAAGCTGTCCCATCGAGTCCAACACTGGAGTGTCAGTGTCCGCGCCTCCAACAGGAGTCTTGTCACCCGTCGGTTCTTTGCCTGGTCTCCTCCTAGGATGTGCGACCTCGTTTTGCCTTGCTCGCGGTGCTCCCAAAGCAATGGAAATGTCAGGCTACGACCTCCCGGGCTAAGTGCCCAAGTCCTCCAGTTTAGACTCTAACTCTTCGGCCAGAATTTGCCTCCTCTTCTTAGGCCGTTAGGCCGTCGTCTTCTACCTTGGGCAAACAATCGGGGGCTGGGGAGCACCCGTAGGTAGAACTAAAGCACCAGCCGAAGGCTGAGGAGCCCCAGTAAGTCGTACCAGAGCTCCCGCCATTGCCCCTCCAGCAGGGGGACCACTGGGAGCAGCTCCAGTTGGTCCGATAGCGCCCACTTGGGGGAAGGTAAACTGCCTCGGTGATGGCGATCTAGGAACCTTTGGAGGTATGGTTGCTACACGAGAACGTCGTTAGTAAAACAGTTCGCTGCATGCACAATCTAAATAAGCCAAGGTTGCAAAGCTTACTCGGTCGGGGCCCTAGGGTCATTTTCGAGTTAAAAAAATCGTATTTTCGTAAATTTACGGTTGTCACGAGCAATCTGGCGTCGCGACTCTCTTCTGGCAAAAAGCCAAAGATCCAGATCCTCGAGAAGCTCTAACCTGGTCTTTTTGTTATCTGCAAATAAAAAAGAGCTCGTTAGCGAAGACAAAAATAGTCCGCAAATTCACAAAAAATGAAAGCCTACTCGGATCCTGGAAATAGCAAATGCCATCATAACGAAAGAAAAAGAACTTCGTCTTGTATGCTCCTACATTGCTCAAGTAACTGTGTATTCCCGCTTCGATGGTAGTTCGCTTAGAAAGATAGTAAGAATCCTTGTCCTTACTTTTCTTCAGAATGTACGAGCAACCGAGCTCCACTATAGTTAGCTCACCCAATCCACTCTCACGGCATGCAATGTACATAGCCACAGCTATCATGTACGCGTTTGGCGTGAGCTGAAGTGGTACGATCCTGAAATGATCAAGGACCGACCTGACAAAAAGGTGGAAGGGGATCAACCTTCCACTCTTGAATATATTCTTAGAGATCACAGCAAGCCCCCGTGGCAGATTCTGAGCTGTGCGTGTCCTATCTCGGAAGACCTCCACACGAAGAGCGTGTTGGTCTACTACCTTTTCAAGATCCTCGAAAGTCATCACCGACAAGATCTCTTGAGGGGGACCCGCATGAGCATCCTGCATAGGCGAACTGGTCCTTTCCTTGGCTCTGGTCATTGGGGGGTCCATTCTACTGTGGTCTACAAAAGCGACAAGCAGGGAATTGTTCAATCCTCGTGCACTATTTTGTATGATAACGTGGAGGAAAAAGTAAATACTTCCCCCTTTAAACCCTAGAAAAACCCTAACAGAATATTTTTAGAGCCACCATTCGTGGCTCAAACCCAAGGAGAATGTTTCATCTTCGGTCAACTACTGGCAGACTGTCATTGCATGGAAACTATTGAAAGAAAGAAATGAATTCTTACCTCTTGGAATGAGAAAATTAATCCTCCTGCTTCGAATATCAAGTGCGCACCGGTTTGAAAGGCAAAGAATCAAAGTTCACAAAAATCTCTTGCTCTCTCTGAGAAGATGAATATTGTGACATTGCCTGAAGTGAGCCTGGGTTTTTATAGTAAAAGAAATGACACTTTAGTTTTCTAAAGTCAAACGACGTTTGGTCGGAAAAATGCATCTCACTGTTGATCACGACCACATGTCGTAGATCAGCAAAGAAGAGTGACCGTCACGCTTCAAGAGAGCAAATCATCGTTCTCTTCCGTTGAAAAACTCAAGCGACGACACGTTTTCCCTCCTCCACATTAAATACACCCCCATCCGCATTTAATGCTCTGATAGAGAATGTCGTTTCAGCATGGCTTGCAATGCGCATGGTTGGCACTCATTGCACATAAGACACGTCTGTCAGAGCAAAAGGTATTTCATTAAATGTATACGCTGCAAAAGTACAACGGATAACATCTGAAGAGGTCGTTACATAGAACACTTTTCGTCTTATGTCGCAAAACGACGCAACTCTTCGATCTTGCCTTGTGTCAATTGCGAAGCGACGTGACCCCTTGGGCAAAAATTACTCCAAGTGCAATCAGGTCATGGACCTCAAAAGAGGATCAAAATCATGGCACTGATAGTCTAAGAATAGGTCGCTCATCCTTAAAATAACGACCATATCAGGTCGCATGCATAAAAGTGTCTCCTCGACCTCTTTGCAATCAGGTCGGGCCAACCAGAATCTCTCCGAAAACGTCAAGTCACGGCATAATATGTAGTTCCCAAGGTTCTATTCTCAAACCTTAAAACTAGGGGACTTCTGTTATGTTTGGAAAAGTAGGGCTGACACGGAGCCTAGTCAGCATAAGTGGTCAGAGCTTAGGTAAACTCGCAGCCATCCAGGCTCAACCACGTCACGTGATGACATGAGCAGCATGCTTCTATCAGTGCAGTGGGTGTGCGCCAGACTAGCTAAAGGCTGGAGAAGGTCCACATGTCCAATCCCTGCACAAATTGCGTAAATCGCTCTAGTAGGTGGGCAATGGGATATAAAGAAGGATTTGCACGGAAGTCTGACCAACTCACAAATTTAGTAATCATTACCTTAACTCATCCCACTATAAATAGAGAGCTCCTCTCTCGTTTGGAGGATTGGCTAATTTCTCTCTGGAATAGCATACACATTCTCTCTCTCTCTCTTGTAACCTCTTGTAAGTCAACTCGTTGTTCGCGACCTGGTCTCGATATATTAATACAATATCAGTGGACGTAGGAATCGCTTGTTAAAGTATCTGAACCACTTTAAACATTATTCTCCATCTTTTATTCAATTTCTTATCCCTATTCACATGTATCTTCTGGGTCAGCTTAACATCTCACACGTACGTTTAATTGGTGTCAGAATCCCGCATCAACAATTTTCATCGTGATTAGATAATAAACAATCATTAATGCTTGATGTCACATGTTAAGTTTATGACATGACATTAACATGAAAGAAATAGATCTGACAATAGATCTATAAAATCACAAAAAATACGCCCTCTGTTTCTCCAAAATTACTAATATTAGACATGTTTAATTGTTTTTGGTGTTAGAAAACCATTTTCAACTTTATATTTCTCTCTTTTTTATTGTATAATATTGTTTTTTGAAACCGCCATTGTAGAATAGACCTACAATTACGAAATAAAATATAATAAACCAAAGTGTCTACACCTGCAACCTTCATACCTGTATTAGAGGAGGATGCAGCAACATTCTGATGACATGACTCTTCTATTGGCTTCTTTATCTCAGTTATTGCGCATAAATAAGAAGCCTGAGCACTAGAGAGCATCATGAGCAATTAAACTTAGCTCGTATTAAGATAATGGAGTTTTATATTGGAATCATTTTATTAGATACTGTAATTATATAACTATCCTGTGAAACAGATAATAGAAAAAACAATCCAATTAACAGTCTACTAAAACTCCATGAAAAACTCATGACATTAAAATAATCAGTACAGAGCAAACTTCATGCACAATGTACACTGTAAAGAAACTTTTTGTCAAAGTTCCATCTTAAGGTCAGAAGAGAGGGACCTACCAACAAGAACAAACAGAAAACAATAATAATATTGAGGTCCAGAAGACACAGGACCTAAAACCTCGAATCAAAAATTAATTTTATATTGCCCATGTACCAATCCTTGCTGTGATTTGAATTGTTATCTCTTGTGGCCTATGTTACAGGGTTCCATCAAATGAGTTTACCCACGAGTCAATTTGTGAAAGCAATTTTACCTGTTCCTAGACAGGATGCAAGTTTTTCTTGATCAGTATAAACTACATAGACTTTGTTCAGGTTGCGTTGTGGTACGATGCAGCTAATTCTTCAAAGGAGTTCACCAAAGAATCAGTTCCTTATTTAATCATCCCTTATTTTCAAGCTGGGATGTTCCCAGTTTGTACTCATTATGTGTGCTTTTGCTGCAGTATATCATACATGACACAATGTGATTCTTCTAAATCATGTTAATTTTGGTATCTCACCCAAATCAAGTAATGTACCGTCAATTGTACAAAGAATATCCACAAAGCATAATAAAATGGTGGAAAAATAAAGATTACCATCTGCTAGTTTGAAAGGGACCAAATGCTAATAGTCATCAATAACCTGCAAAGTACAATAAAACTGCAGACTGTGGAAACAATTTGAAAACTGAGACAGAGGTATACCTTTGTGTTAGCGTTACAAAATGCATTTAGCTAAATTTTCAAACAAACTTCATTCAGTTGACATAGAGCATCAATATCAGAAGAGGGATACTTGTTCTTTGATGAGACCCCTAATATGCTGGTTTATGGTAGGAGACGTAAGGGTACGAAGTAGAGGATTTTGGGTAGCTGGCAAGAANTAAATGGCTTCTCTGTAGCAGTTGACTGCTGATTACCATCTACACTGTTTGATTCTGCACGAAAAAGGGATGCTGATTTTACCAAGCAAAGTTATAAGAAGGAATCGATTTAGAACTTCATTTGGGGCATAAACCTGGGTTGACAAAAAACTTGTTTTAGGGTGTCCCTTTTTTGGATTTGATAGTGGTGAGACAACAGATGTGTGCTTCCCATGCTCTGGGGCTTTTGAGAATGGAATTAAGGGAGTAGAAGGAGAACCTGTTATTGATGATGAACTGGCAGAATGCTGTGGCATCTCAGCGTTGGAAAGAGGTGACAGTGAATTTTTCCGGTCAATCTGAGCAGATTGCTGAGACATTTGAGAAGTAGCAAGATGTTGGCAAGGCACTGCTGGCTGAAGCATACCTGAAGTGACAACTGGCTCGATGTTTGTCATAAGCATCTGTTGCATTTTTGGACCATTCCATTGTTCCAACTCACCAAGTTGTGTTGATGATGAATGAGATGAACCAACTGCTCTGCTTACTGAAGTTAACTTCGAAGGATGGGATTGGTGTTTTCTGTTGGAATTGGAAGCAAAACTAAGTACGCACAAATGACAGATAGGCTTGTTGATTAAAAGGAGAGTTTTTATTCAACATGAACTACATCAAAGTCACATAATTAATTTCAACATTACATACATATATAGTTTATCTTAAAGTTTAGATAACACTAAATAACTGAACATGATAAAATCACATAACTAAAGGTAAGTTTCTTTTAGTTTAACAGTTGTAACTTAACCGAAAATCAAACTGTTGTCTGAAAAATCTGATCGCCTAATGCAAGTTGCAGGTCGCACAACACAGATCGCAAGTCGCAGGACGCACGCCGCAACAGACTTTTCTCTCACCACAGCGAGCTGCTGTTGCCACGACAGACTTCCTTTTGCCGCAGCGATCAGTTCTCTGATCTGTTTCAGAGAACTTCATCTCCACGTTTGCCACAGCATTCTTCATCTTCAGGTATCTCAAAACACTTTTTGCTGCTGCGAAAGGTTCTTCACTTGGTTCCTGCATAAATCTAGACAAAAGGTTAATGGAAAAAATTACATCCGGCATTGTTGCCGTTAGGTACATTAAGCTTCCAACTAGACTTCTATAACTTCTTCCATCTGCCTTCCTTTTTCCATCATTCTTCACAAGCTTCAAATGCAAAGGTAGGGGAGTTGTTGTAGTTTTGTTATCCTCCATGTAAGTTTTCAAATTCTTGAGCATATTCTTTGGCATATAAAGATGCCATCCTTTTCTTGACTTACTTCAAGACCTAGGAAGTAATTCACTTTCCCCGAGTCACTCATTTAAAACCCCTTATCACACTTCTTTTGAAATCTTCAATTTTTATTTTCTCTTATGATTTTGGAATACACTTCCAACAGGAGCACAATGGTTGCGACTCTACATGAACTTCCTGTGTAAAAGGGTTATGTGGAAAGCAGTTTGTTTGATTGCTCCATAAAGAGGGGCTGCCACGGATCTGTCGGTAAACTTGGTGCTCAGAACGGTAAAATAAACTTGGTTGTGATGCACCAGGCTGTTGTTGATATGCTGATGATTGTTGTGGATATCAAGTGGATGTGTGGAGTGCAATGTTCGGTTGATGGACATTTCGCTAGAAAATGTGTGTTGTGACTGCAAGATTTGGTTTGCTGATAAAAAACATTCTGTAATGGTGAATCCAAGGGTGTAGCAGAGGTATTTGCTTGGATTCCTTGTTCAATTAAAGCACCAGCACGATCACGTGATACCCAAGAAACATTCTGCAAACTGGAGCTTTCCCAGCATTGGCTACATAGAGGTTCTGAGTCAGACCTGTAACTGAGTGAAAACTGTGTTAAACTAATATATTTTGCGCAAGGAAATTACATGATTAGGCGGTGCAACTACTGCAGTGATTGGTGGTGCAACTACTGCAGTGATGGTATTGCAACTCCACTTCCATCGTTCTCACAACTCAGAGGAGGTAACTACTGAATAAATCTTACGAGGGAAAAAAAAGAGAAGAATAAAAAAGGGAAACTAGCACAACTATAAGAGAAAACCAGATCAATATAATCCATAATATGCAAAGCACACATGAAACTATCACACCAGCCGTCAGACCAGTCAAATCTACCTTTTACTATTACAGCACCAGAAATGCATTTGCACACGTGAATATTGGTTTTGAAAACTTATCAACCGTGACAGAAAGCAGTCACATAGTCACATCTACCCTTTTACTATACAGCACGGCATTGTATTTTTCATCGTGATTAGATAATAAAACAATCCATTAATGCTTGATGTCACATGTTAAGTTTATGACATGACATAACATGAAAGAAATAGATTCTGACAATAGATCTATAAAATCACAAAAAATACGCCCTTTGTTTCTCCAAATTACTAATATTAGACATGTTTAATTGTTTTGGTCTTGAAAACCATTTTCAACTTTATATTTCTCTCTTTTTTATTGTATAATATTGTTTTTTGAAACCAACCAGTAGAATAGACCTACAATTACGAAATAAAATATAATAGACCAAAAGTGTCCACACCTTCAACCCTTATACCTTAGTAGAGGAGGATGCAGCAACATTCTGGACATGACTCTTATTGGCTTCTTTATCTCAGTTATGCGCATAAATAAGAAGCCTGAGCACTAGACAGCATCATGAGCAATTAAACTTAGCTCGTATTAAGATAATGGAGTTATATTGGAATCATTTTATAGATACTGAATTATATAACTATCCTGTGGAACAGATAATAGAAAAAACAATCCAATTAACAGTCTATACTAAACTCCATGAAAAACTCATGACATTAAAATAATCATACAGCAAACTTCATGCACAGTGTCAGTGTAAGAAACTTTTGTCAAAGTTCCATCTTAGATCAGAAGAGAGGGACCTACCAACAAGAACAAACAGAAACAATAATAATATTAGGTCCAGAAGACACAGGACCAAAACCTCGAATCAAAATTAGTTTTATATTGCCCATGTACCAATCCTTGCTGTGATTTGAATTGTTATCTTGTGGCCTATGTTACAGGGTTCCATCGAAGGAGTTTACTCGAATCAATTTGTGAAAGCAATTTTACCTGTTCCTATACAGGATGCAAGTATTCTTGATCAGTATTAAACTAGATAGACTTTGTTCAGGTTACATTGTGGTACGATGAGCTAATTCTTCAAAGGAGTTCACCCAAGAATCAGTTCCTTATTTATCATTATTTTATCCCTATTTTCAAGCTGGGATGTTCCGAGTTTGTACTCATTATGTGTACTTTTGCTGCAGTATATCATACATGACACAATGTGATTCTTCTAAATCATGTTAATTTTGGTTCTCACCCAAATCAAGTAATGTACCGTCAATTGTACAAAGAATCTACCAAAGCATAATAAATGGTGGAAAAATAAAGATACCATCTGCTAGTTTAAAAGGGACCAAATGCTAATAGTCATCATTAACCTGCAAAGTACAATAAAACTGCAACTGTGGAAACAATTTAAAAACTGAGACAGAGGTATGCCTTTGTGGTAGCGTTACAAAATGCATTTAGCTAAATTTTCAAACAAACTCATTCAGTTGACATAGAGCATCAATTCAGAGAGGATACGTTCTTTGATGAGACCCCTAATATGCTGGTTAGGTAGGAGACGTAAGGGTACGAAGTAGAGGATTTTGGGTAGCTGACAAGAAGGTTCTTTGTGCATGAGGTTTGTTTAGGAGGACATATGACATTAGGGGAATGGGTGATTGAGATGTTAGTAGAATAAAAGGAGAGGCAGAGATTGAGAGGATATTCAAAAGAGAAAAGTAGAGTGGGAGGTTGCTGGCCGCCCTCGAAGTCCCGCACTATCTGGGAGGAGTTAGCCCTCAAAGACCAACATTATTTCTGTTCTTTTGTTTAAGTTGTATTCCTTTTGATTGTGCTATTGGTAGTGATTGCTAGTTTAACTTCTGTTACTTCGTTGCTAGAATATAAATAGACTTGACTATATTTTCTGGGTTTTGCTACTGTTTATTGATATTTTTTGGGTTGAGTCTTGAGTGTTGTTGTTGTTGTGGTTTGATGAGTATTGGAAAGTATCTATCAATGTATCATTCTTCAAAACATCTACTCTGTCATGTAATAAAAAAAAAAAAAAAAATGTCTTAAGAGATGACGCATAATCATGAATTATCAACAATTCATTTTGTTCCTAGAGAAAAGCACACAGAGATCTCTCTTAGATTTTGTATAAAGTTTTCAGGCAGAGCTACTTTCTGCAATATGTTTCTTGCAAAAAAATAAAAAAAAAGAAGCATATTTATTTTTGTTAGGATTACTCCATCTTGATCAACATCAGAGTTGACTATACTAGGTAGTATTTATTAACAAAACTCTTGATATAATTCCCACAACAACACAAACAAAAAAAAAAAAAAAAAAGAGAATCATATTTCAGATATATAGTAATTAGCATCAGGAGAAAAAAGATTGGTTCAGTTCACTTCAAAATGCGCAAAGTTCACTCAATCTGCTAATTTATACATATCAATTTGGCAGTTTTTTTTAAATAAAGCCGTAGTATTCACGGTTCTGATGAGAGAAAATTTAGCTGACCGGCCATCCCAAGTTTCGATTTAAGAAAATGGCCTTGAAACTTTTTTTTCATTTTTTTTTTTTAATTTAGAGAAGCTGACGTGGCACAGTTAGGATCCATTAAACATGTAAAATGGGTTAAAATGAAAAGATTAAAACATATAAGGACGAAATCTAATTAATGAAAGTTTTTAAAATTTGAAATTTGAAAAAGAGCCCCACCCATTCAAATCGCTTAATCGAAACCAATTAAGGCAAAAATCGATATCTTCAATCCCTAAACGCATTCTGTGCAATTTCCGACGATAACAGTCCACATTCTGGCAAATTTTCACACCCAAATTCAATCCTAAAGTTTCTTCCTTTCTTAAAACCATGGTTGACATTCACAATGAGGAGGAAAACCCAACGTCTCTTCGAATCGTAGAGTCCGGCCGGCAAGCAGTTCAATGGCTGCTTCGGTGGATCCTCCGATCAGTGAAGGTGTTCCAACAGTGGAGACAACGGCGGCACAACAAGAGAGAGAACAGGAGCAAAATGGTTATGAAGAGGAAGAGGAGGCCGGGCAGAATTCAGGCCAGGAAGAGGAGTTCGGCGAGAGTTCAGACGAGAAGGAGGAGGCCGTCGAAGAAAAGGTATTTGTACCTGCCGAGACCTAAGATTGCTTAAGCGATCCTTTGTATCGCTTAAGCGATTGACGGCTTTTACTCTTGGTCGCTTAAGCTATTTAGGATTGCTTAAGAGTAAAAGCGATGAATCGCTTAAGGGATATAAACGATCGCTTAAGCGATCTTAGATCTGGCAGATGTTGATTCTGCCTCGTACAAGATCTCTTAAGCGATCTGTAATCGCTTAAGCGACCAAGAGTAAAAGTGATGAATCGCTTTTACTCTTGGTCGCTTAAGTGATTTAAGATCGCTTAAGTGATTTAAGATCGCTTAAGCGATCTCTTCCGAGGCAGAACCAAATCTGCCCAGATCTATAATCGCTTAAGCGATCCTTTAGCGATTTCAGATCGCTTAAGAGTAAAAGTGTCGAATCGCTTAAGCGATATAGAAGATCGCTTAAGCGATCTTAGATCTGGGCAGATGTTGATTCTGCCTCGGAAGAGATCGCTTATCGCTTAAGCGACCAAGAGTAAAATTGACGAATCGCTTAAGCGATTCGTCGCTTTTACTCTTAAGCAATCTGAAATCTCTTAAGCGATTTCAGATCGCTTAAGAGATCTTGTATGAGGCAGAATCATCTGCCTATCGCTTAAGCGATTCTTCCGGAGCATATTTTGTTTATATTTGATTTGGTTTAATCTTTTTACTGATATTTTGTTTATATCGATTGTGCAAATTTTTCAGAGCGTAAACTATAGAGAGTACGGATTGGAGGTTGTAAGCGATACGGTACCGTACTTCCCTGTGAAAGTGACAGTGAGGTCAAATTGGGATGTTTTAACGAGAATAAAGAGGATTTTAGGGACAGTGAGGAATGGTGAAAGGAGATTCAAAGAGACTTGTTTCAGTCATTTTTGGGATATGGACACAAAATGGAAAAAGACATTCTGGGGGTCGGGAGTGCATTATATGTTGCTGCACTCAATAAAAAGCAACAAAAAGCA